TTTCAGCATCCGATTTTGGTTTAGAGGTTTGACTAGCCGTAGAAACCTCTGAAGTTTGAACTACTAGAGGCATAATTTTTTCCCCCTTTCTCAGATATTTTCGTTTGTAGGTCATTAATGGAATTGGTTGAATCATATCTCCCCCTACCGATTTCTTTTCCGGACTTGTAGGCGGTAGGTTTTTCAGGTTTTTTGAATTTGAGACATCTAGATTAGAAGGTGGGATTGTTAGAGAGATATTTGGGGAAGAGGAGATCGGTGCGGAAGAAATATCCAGATTTGTAGGAGAGATATTTGAAGTTGACACAGATTTCGGAAGTTGATGAGGGGAAGATTTTGGAGGTGGTTCCGAATCATTTGAACCTGGCTGAGAGAATGGAGAGATTTGAGGAGTGGGTACCGAATGATTTGGATTGGGCCGAATTATTTGAGGAACAGGTTCTGAATTGGGAGTTAAATTCGAATTGGGATGAGGATTTGAAATAGATGACCCCTGATTAGGAGGGATACAGTCCCAAAAATATTCCCAATTTTTGTGGTGCAAGTCCGAGATATCTGGGGTGGAGAAATTCGAAAAAAACTGATGTTGCTCCCCTTGTGTGTCTTGTTTTGTAAAATATGGCTGATTTTCAAAGAAGGTAACATCTCTAGACACAAAATATTTTCATTTTTCCGGAGAATAACATCTATAGCCCTTTTGTGTAGAAGAATAACCCAAAAACAGACACTTATGAGAACGAGGATCTAATTTGCCTCTATTAGGATCATGATTATGAACAAAAGATGAACGCCCAAAAACCTTATGATCAAGTTCGGAAAAAACACGTGACTCAGGATAATATTTAAGCAATGTATTCAACGGAGTCTTATATTGTAAAACCCTACTTGGCATACGATTTATTAAATAATAAGCTGTGAGTACAGCATCTCCCCAAAAACACTTTGGTACATTAGAATTGAATAGTAAAGCACGAGCAACTTCTAACAAATGACGGTTTTTATGTTCTGAAATACCATTTTGTTGTGGTGTATTAACACATGAACTTTGGTGAATGAGGCCTTTTTCAGTGAGAAACTGATTTAAAATAGAATTAAAATATTATGTTCCATTATCAGTATGCAAAATTTTAAGATGTTCATTGAACTGCATTTTGATCATGGAATGGAAATTTTGAAATACTTGCTCTGCCTCAGATTTTTCTTTTAATAGGTACACCCAACAAACACGAGAATGATCATCAATAAACGTAATAAACCATCTTTTATTAAAAATGCTACGAACACGGGAAGGTCTCCAAATGTCACTATGAATTAGAACAAAAGGTTTTGAAGCCCTTTAAGGTTGGGGAGGTAGAAAGACACGTTTGTGTTTTGCAAGTTCACAAACATCACATTGAAAGGAATCTTTATTTCTAAACAACGAGGGAAACAGGCGTTTCAAATATAGAAAGCTTGGATGACCTAGCCGACAATGTAAGAGCATGATTTGTTGTTCTCGAGTAAGGGAGACATTATGATTGACCATATGACCCTTTACAGAAAGATCGTCCTCGAAGTAGTACAGACCAGAGAATTCTTTAGCATTGCCAATCCTCTTCCCCGAAATCCGATCCTGAAACATACAAACAGAAGGTGTAAACGTGACTAGACAATCCAAATCTTTAGTTATCTTGCTTATTGAGAGAAGATTACAAGACAACTTAGGTACATGTAACACAGACTTCAAAATTATATTTGAACTAATTTTCATGGTACCAATACCAGCAACAACCGAAAAAGATCCATCTGCAATTTTCACTTTTTGATTGCCGGGTGACGGAGAATATGAGCAAAAAATCTTTTCACAACCACATATGGTCAGAAGCATCAGAGTCTATTATCCATGGCTCACCTTGATCCTTTAGTCCACTCAATGTAGACAAATGATTACCTTTTTGAGCAACTAGTGAAGTGCATGGAATCGCTGTGTTAGTCAACATCTTGCAGAGTTGTTCCATTTGTGCTTTGGATAGTGTAACTGAATTGTTGGACCCACTGTTGGACCCCTTTGATTCACCTTCATTTGAACTTTGGAATGCTTTTCCATCCTTTCCACGAGATTGTGGACTCCAATTGGCAGGTTTACCATGAAGTTTCCAGCACTTTTCTTTAGTGTGGTATGGCTTCTGACAGTGATCACACCGGGCTGTATTTTTCTGTTTTGGACGTGAATCTGGTCCTCGAACAGCCAAGGCTGAATTCTCAATCGCAGGTGGTGGGGGATTGAGGTGGTGGGGCAGATTTGCTGAGCATAACTTTCTTTCGGCTTTCCTCCCGTCTTACTTCCGCGAAAATCTCTTAAATGGGTAGGAGAAGTTTCATCCTGAGTAGGCGACCACGAACCTCGTCCAAATCACGGTTGAGTCCAGCCAAGAGATCATAAATCCTCTCCTTTGCTAGCATCTGTTTATAGAGAACCGCATCTGTTGGATCCTTCCATTCACAGACGTGAAAGAGATCCAGTTCTTGCCGCACTTTCTTGAGAGCATTGAAATATTGCGTCACATCCCGTTCACCTTGTGTCATATTTCTAACACGGTTCCGCAATTCATAAACTTGAGATGTATCTGCATAATCAGAATATACTAGATGAACAGCATCCCAGATTTCCTTTGTTGTGGGATAAAACAAATAGGTGTCACCAATGGAATCCTCCATGGAATGAATTAACCAGGCCATTACCATGGAGTTTTGAATATTCCAAGTCTGATAGGTAGGATCGTCAATACTCGGTCAGCTATTAGTCCCATCCAAACAGCCGATCTTCCCTTTACCACGAATGACCATTTGAATAGAGCGAGACCATTGAAGAAAATTTCTGCCATTCAATTTATGAGAAGTAATCTGTAGGGATGTGTGTTCATGATTTGCAGTGGGAACAATTGTAGAGGTTGGGTTAGACGTTCCTGAAGCAACCTCAGACCCATCACCTCTGCTTGTTCCAGTCGCCACTTTGGCGATATAAAAGCACTGCTATTGAATATATTTTCTTTCTTATTCTTCAGAAATATATTACAGGCCTATATATAGATGTACACGGCTAATGAATTCAAAAATAAGTTACAAACTGACTTCCTAGTTTTAAGGCTAACTTCAAGGCTTCTCTGTACAACGTAACTGACTTCCCAATAATATATATATGTATATAAATTTTCTGTTTCCTATAATTGAAGTATTTTTTTTATTGCTTTATGTTTCGGATGCCTTTGTGGGCAAGGCATATGGGAGACGTGGTACACAAGTCAAGGAAGTCAAAAGAGTTAAGAATGGGAAAGAAGCTGAAGAATAATCGTAGTTTTAGTAGTATCATAATTAGGAGAGTCTATTTGTAGCAAGTATTCTAGTTTCCTCTTTTCTATAGGAGTAACTTTTTAGTTTCCTATTTTCCTACTTTCTAGATTCCTATTTCCTATTTTCTAGTTTTCTATAGGAGTTTTTTTTTTTTTATTACCTCGTATGAATTTCAATTATCATATTATATTCTCAAAACTCACAATTTCCAATAAGTATATTAATATGCTTGATTTTTAGGTGAAGTCCCTCGTGTTGTTGGAGCTAAGTTTGCTTTTTATACTAAGTGAAGATAATCAATTGTTAGCTTTCTTCTGTGGCTAAGTTGAATGGTGAGCCCAAGTAACCTTTTGGAGGGTACTTTCTATTTTTGAAACAATAAGATGTGGTGGGAAGAGTTACGTTTGTGATGCATGTTTTTCTTGACCTATATTGTACGGCTACTTGTACTTTCTTGCTTTGGTATGTAGAGAAATTTATATTTTAGGATTTAATGGTTGATTTTGACAAACTATGCAACTAAGTTATACTATAATTGTTTTGGGTTACTATCAAAGAAATATATATTAATATTAAATTCAGTTCAATGTTCCCACGTAGCTTCATTTTTTTCAGGTTAATGTAATAGTAAGAAAACTATAAAGAGAGGATGGTTATTTTGCACTATTCAATTCAGTGCTCACGTGCAGTTTCATCTAGCAACATATAATAAACTAGAGTTTGTTTACTAATATTACTGTTCAAACTTTTGGTCTTTCTATTTTGCCCTTTTCTCGATTTTTTTTGGTCCTGCTTACTGTAGCTGGTACCCTTTCGTTGCCTTCGAACTTTAGGGTTCTCTCCCTTGTCTTTTCTTACCCCTCTATGCATTTGAGTTCTTTATCTCCTAAAAATTTTAGTTCCGAGTTCGGGGAATTTTTTTCGGAACCAGCCCTAACGTCACTCCTATGCTCTTCGACCAAACTAGGTACCTTCTCAGCATTGATTTTACTATTTTACTTTTCTTTGTTGAAGTTTCGTTTCTATGTGAAGATTTCTTTGGGGTATATGTGTGTGTGTGTGCATTTTTGTTTAAATTCTTCCATAGCTCTAAAAGTTATTTTATAATAAAATCTTCATTTTGTTCCCACCCCCTTCTTAATTGGCTTTCCTTTTTGGCGCACCGATCTTTATTAACAGTGACCCTCCCTCTCGAGAGGGGGTATGTATTCATTTGTTTATTTTTTCTTGAACAAATTCTTTTGTTATGCAAACCAAAGCATTTGTTCAAGTTGGCCCTTTGAATCTCTCCAACAGCCGACGGGTGCGAACTTGAAGTTAGGCTTTTGGTTTTTGGAGGTTAGTTTGATCTATTTGGGAGCGAGCTTGAAGTTGCATTGAGATTTTTGGAGGTTAGATTTTTTTTCTACTTATCAAACTGTCCCTTGATTATTTTTTAAACAGATAAGAGAAATGTCTTTCACATGGTTTTTTCTCTGCGTAGAGAAAAACATGAATTACACCCCTCACAACCTGATTTAAATGTTGAAACTAGAGGTTCAGCTCTATCTTTCGCGTTGTTTATTGTACTTTTGTCTGCGTTTTTTATTTATGGACACTAAATCCTTAATATATTTTCTTTTTGTAAAAAAAGAAGAGATAATTTGATGTCCGATTTCACATGTGGAAAGAACCAGAATGCTACAAGACAAAAGCTAAGTCATGCTCTGTACATGGTATGTTGAGGTAAAATGATGATCTAATTTCTATTTGCATTACTTAAAATCTTGTTATGTACAATTTTACATGATTTAAACAAGGCTTTTAATATCGTTATCGTTGACTCTTTCATATTTGGATGCCTTTTTATTTTCAGAGTGTCTATGAACATTAGGATGTACTATATAGTTTCAGATGAAGTGTGGCATCAATTTGTTCTTGTGCCTTTCTTTGATAGTTCTTTGTATGATTGGTCTATATAGTTAAATGTTAAACATGCTCTGTTTCCTTGCCATGGGGTTTGCACACTATGCTTGAATGTTGGTTTGTTCATATTATTACCACATCTATCGTGGCACTTGAGACAACATAGGATGAATAACAGCTAATTCATTGTCGTCTTAAGAGAAAATATAAGAAAAAATACTGTAGCAAATCACGAATCATGATTCGAATCAAGGAACAAATCTCTTTACCAAACGGGATCTTAATCTTTTTTCACTGAAAATATGCAAATGCCATTCAATAATGAATTCCAGAAAACCAAATTATTATGGGCCTGTTTGGTAGCATTTTCATTTTCGTTTCTCACATTTTTCGATGTAAAAAATTGAAAACGGAGATAAAAAACGTGTTTGGCAAAATTTGTGTCAGAAAACAAAAACGAAAATGGCTTTGTCGTTTTCCGGAATTTTGAAAACGGAAAAAAGCCGTTTTCGTTTTCTTGTTTTCATTTTCGGTTTCTTCTTCTTCTTTCTTCCTCGATCATCCTCCTGTTTCTGCTTCTTCCGATTTTTTCTTCCCTTTCAGCCGAGCTCTTCTTCCTCCTTCCCTTCCATACTTCAGCCGAGATCTTCTTCCCGGCCGAGCCCCGGCGTTCTTCTCGCCCAAGAGTCGCGTCGTTTGCTTCTCACCGGAGCACCTCCGTTCGCCTGAGCTCCTCCGGTCTCTTGTTGCCCAATCTGCGCTGTTCTCTGTTTTCTCACCGAGGTATGCCCTTAGCCAAAAATATTTGAACGTGTTTGATTTTTCCGATCGATTTGGTCGAGCAATTTGTTTTTTTATTTTTTTTATTTTTATTTTCCGGTTGTCTCGCCGTTTGATTTGCTTATTCAGCCAAATCGGTTGCTGTTTTCCGATTGATTTGGTGTTTGTTTTCTACCCTATGCTTGATCTGATCTGGTTTTTTTTCTGTTTTTTTTTTCTTTTTCCCCTGGAGGCCCCCGTTGGGGCTGATACACCCCCTGGGGGCCTCCCATTGGGGCTGTATCAGCCCCTGGGAGGCCCCCCCGATGGGGCTGAATCAGCCCCTAGGGGCCTCCCTTTGGGGTTGGCCTCGGAGGCCCCCAGTGGGGGCCGAAATTCAGCCCCCATCAGCCCCAATGGGGGCTGATTATCAGCCCCCGTTGGGGCTGAATCAACCAACCCCTGGGGGCCCCCCTTTGGGGCTGGCCAGGGAGGCCCCCAATGGGGGCTGAAAATCAGCCCCAATGGGGGCTGAAAATCAGCCCCAATGGGGGCTGAAAATCAGCCCCAATGGGGGCTGATTTTTAGCCCCCATTGGGGATGAAAGTCAGCTCTGATGGGGGCTGAAAATCAGCCCCCATGGGGGCTGATTGTCAGCCCCCATTGGGGCTGAATCAACCCCTGGGGGCCTCCCTTTGGAGCTGGCTAGGGAGGCCCCCAATGGGGGCTGATTGTCAGCTCTGATGGGGATGAAAATCAGCCCCCATCAGGCCCCATGGGGCTGATTGTCAGCCCTGATGGGGGCTGAAAATTAGCCCCCATCCGCCCCAATGGGGGCTGATTATCAGCCCCCATTGGGGATGAATCAACCCCTGGGGGCCTCCCTTTGGGGCTGGCCTGGGAGGTCCCCAATGGGGGCTGAAAATCAGCCCCCATCAGCCCCAATGGGGGCTGATTATCAACCCTGATGGGGGCTAATTTTCAGCCCCCATCCTCCCCAATGGGGGCTGATTATCAGCCCCCATCAGCCCCCATGGGGGCTGATTGTCAGCCCTGATGGGGGCT